GCACGATCAAGCCTAGCATCTGCTCCGTTCGATTTCATATCTGATCTGTGGTCCATCGAGACCTTTTTATTTAAAAAAAGAAAAAAAAAAGCACACGAGCACGCGTGCGCACGAGGGAGGGGGAGAGAGAGAGAGAGAGAAAGAGAGGGAGAGAGAGAAAGAGAGGGAGAGAGAGAAAGAGAGAGAGAGAGAGATAGCCCAATCTTACCCAACTACGCGCCTGCCCCCTCCCTCCACACACGATCAAGTGTAGTATCTGCTTCGATCAGTTTCATATCCGATCTTCTCACATGATCAAGCCGTGATATCTGCTCCGTTCAGTCTCATATCTGATCCGTAGTCCATCAGGACCTTTTTATTTAAAAAAGAAAACAAAAGCACTCGCGAACGAGAGACACACACACACACACACACACACACACAGAGAGAGAGAGAGAGAGAGAGAGAGAGAGAGAGAGAGAGAGAGAGAGAGAGAGAGAGAACCCAATCTAACTAGCTATGCGCATCCCCCTCCCCGCCCCCCCCACAACGATCAAGTGTAGTATCTGCTTCGATCGGTCTCATAGCTGATCTTCTCGAATGATCAAGCGTAGTATCTGCTCCGTTCAGTTTCATATCTTATCCGTGGTTCATCGAGACTTTTTTATTTGATAAAACTTAATAAAAATAAGAAAAAGCACGCGCAGGAGAGAGAGAGAGAGAGAGAGAGAGAGAGAGAGAGAGAGAGAGAGAGAGAGAGAGAGAGAGAGAGAGAGAGAGAGAGAGAGAGAGAACCCTTTGTAGCGAACTGCGCGTCTTCCCCCCCCCCCCACACACATATGAACAAGTGCAGTATCTGCTTCGATTAGTTCTGTGGTTCATGGAGACGGCTAAAAATGGAAAAAAATAAAAACAAGCACGCCCAAGACGTGGGAGAGAGACTATAGAGAGAGCGAGAGGGAAAGAGAGAGACCCCAGTCTAACTAAATATGTGCCAGCCGCCCCCCCTTCCCAATGATCAAGTGTGCTATCTGATCCATGGTCCAAAAATAAAGCGTCCATGCAAGACGCGCGCACGCGCGCGAAAGAGAGAGAGAGAGAAAAAGAGAAAAAGAGAAACTCGACCATCCCCCGTGATCAGGTGTAGTATCTGTTCCGGTCAGTTTCATATTTGATCCGTGGTTGATCAAGACCTTTAAAAAAGAAAGAAAGAAAAAAACAAACGGAAAATTGAAAATCCGTTCACGCACTGATCAGTTCAATGGAGAAAAAAACAGAACAAGGGAAGCATGAGCGATTTTGGAAATAAAAGAAACCGGAGACGAGCGGTTTCGGGAAAAAATAAAATAAAGCGAAGCAGCCGCAAGAGGTAAGACACACACACGCACACACACACAGAGAGAGAGAGAGAGAGAGAGAGAGAGAGAGAGAGAGAGAGAGAGAGAGAGAGAGAGAGAGAGAGTCCAGTGCCACCTTCGTGTGTGTGTGTGTGTGTGTGTGTGTGTGTGTGTGTGTGTGTGTGTGAGAGAGAGAGAGAGAGAGAGAGAGAGAGAGAGAGAGAGAGAGCCGCGCCCTGTGTGTGTGTGTGTGTGTGTGTGTGTGTGTGTGTGTGTGTGTGTGTGTGNGAGAGAGAGAGAGAGAGAGAGAGAGAGAGAGAGAGAGAGAGAGAGAGAGAGAGAGAGAGACAACTTCTTGGCAAACATTCCATTTTTATTGCGGGCGTAGCCGCAACAGGTCCCCTAGTATATATGCTAATTGTACACAATTCCCAAAGCTTGCTCCAGTTCCCAAAAATAAAATAAAATTATTTGCTAGTTGTGCATGCAGAATGGAATTTTGCAATAATAACTAAGTGAACTGTTTACTGGTATCTTCCCTCCCACTGTATCCTTCTCGAGTAGTCACTTAGTGTCCACGTCCTGAGCATGTGGTTGAGCAGCGTGTCTGAAGGTGTGCAATCCGGCCCACCCCTGTGGCCCAAGTCTATGGTAAGCCGGCCGGCCCTGCATTTTCTTTATCCTCGCATGAAACGGGCCTTGCATCTGATTGATCTGGCTGATCAAGAGGCAGTTTAACGACAGACCCCAATGTCCTCAGGGATTATTTAACGTCGCAGACAGGAGGACGGTCACAGCCAAGATTCAATTTGAATCTGCCAGAAATATTTATAGACGGTCTGGTATGCATCTCATGTAGGACTGGCCTGCCCAACACGACCTCTATCAGCGCAGCAAGCAGAACCAAGGACTTGCGGCAAAGCATGCGTGTACTAGTGCCAGCGGGTTGGCATGGCGACCATGACCAGAGTGCTTCGTCCAGGGCTCTTCAGAGGCTTCACCCGTCTCCCACCAGCTTGCTGCCCAGGAAGAATGTCGACTCTCAAGGTTGAGCGCTCGCGACACCTCAAGAGGATTCTCAAGACGGAACTTAC